GAAACATTCAGTGCTTTATGGGAGAAACATTCAGTGCTATTACAGGAGAAACATACAGTGCTCTTATAGGAGAAACATTCAGTGCTCTTGCAAGAGAAACATACATGGCTCTTATGCCAAGTGATAGCAGGTATTGGTGGTGTAATAATCATTTATCAATACTTTCAATATGAAGATATTTCCAAAAGATACATCTGAGTTCAATCAGCCTTATTCATTCAGTATTGTAGGCCATAGGCCCATGATGACAACTGCAGTACGTGGAGTCGGAACACAGTGTGCCAACTGTTTCTGATACACGTTGCTTGTATATGAACATCGATAGGTTTTTGACGGTGTATTCCTTCGTGGACGACATTTATACATAAACCTTGTGTCAAGTAGCATAGGTATAATGTGTTGGTGCTATACATTTAGCTCTTAGATCATCATATGTTTTACAGATATGATATAATGGTATTCGTCTTCTCTGTAGTGCTCTTTACAAAAAACACAAATTCTATCTTCTTTTTTTACATTGAATGTGTGAATTGATACGGATGTTTGATCTTTGAGAGAAGATAAAGTTCTCGAAACTTTCACTTTGTTGTCATCTCTTGGGGATGATGAAAGGATTGAAAGCCCTTAAGATTTTTATCTACAAGTACCTTGGCTTATAATCAAATATTCCCTTACGATTTCTTTGGTAGCAAGCGTACGTGGCGTGTTTAGGGAGTGAATGATTAATACATTATTTGTTTTCACGTTAATAAACTGACGGGCAAAAGAAAGTATACACCCATGTTTGATGGTGGCAAAAGATGAAACAAATCAGAAATGATTCGATGGTGATGTATTTGACGGTATCATGGTCATGTTTTGTACCTTAAGTTTGCAATGACCACTGTTTTCAGCCTAGAAACATTTTAATGACACTTGTATTTTTTTTGTCAAGTCCAATTCCAAGTGTATAATTTCTTCTTTATTAAATATTATATAAAAGAAGTTGTTACCTATAATTGTGTCTACTTTAAGAATTGACCTAATTTGCCATGTGGGTTTTAAAAAGAATACAACCGCATGTAGTAAAAAATACACATTTTCACCAATGACACTCGTTGCAACGTGGAACAATATTTCGCCATAGCTTACCTGTTAAACACACTGTTGTTTTAGCGGAGTGGTTAATAAGCGTCAGTGTCAGTCTCATGCTAACATTACTAGATAAACTGACAATGTACTGACTGTTGTATACAGACAACAGATACAGGTGTTTCATCAGAGCGCCGACATCACAACCAGACAATAGCCAAGCCTGTCAATGTCCAAGGCCATTGATGTCCAGCGGGATGATGCTGATTGGCTGGGATGCCAGCAGTCACTGGAGCAAGACGGGAAGGTACGTCACCCGTACACACGTCGCCTCATTAACGGCTCATTAGAAACTATGCAAATTAGCATAATGAGATTCCGGTTGATTGAGTGAGTTAAGCCAAAGTTATTACCCCGGCGACATGTTTTGACAGCAGGGGTCGTGACGTAATAAGGGTGAAGGAGGTAACATCCTGGCCAGGTCGAGCAGATGTCATTAGGTGAGAGGTCATTCTTCACGAAGGAACACGTGGCCACCTGACTGCATTAACCAAGACACCGATGCTTCGAGAGGTTCACAATACTCGGGTTGTAGAACAGAAACAACATGGAGACCACAGAAATTCACGACTCTTTTCCATCATCCGGGCACTTACCTCTCACGCAAGAAGAATTGACGGTCAGGGTTATGTGTGCGGAGATTCGGTTTCGACGTGCTTGCGACCAAGTTACTTTGATCAACAGGAAAATTCGTTCGTTGGAGGTGCGCTACTTCAAAGCACGTGCAGACCACAGACGGTCTTACCGCTACATTCTGCGCATGCGTCTGATGTCCGCAGAGAACATGCGCGACATGTACCACATTTACGCCGCTGCAAAGGCTGACGAGGTGATGGCGTTGCGGAAACAGCTAGGAACGGAGTGGGAAGAGCAGGAGGACGATGTCGCCGACTTCGTTGACAACAACATCACCGACAGCGAGGATGAAGAGATGGAGATTGAGAACAATACTCCCGAGGCAATGATTGTTCAGACATCGACAGAACAGCCATCATGATCACACGTGGATAGGCAGGTGCGTCGCACACATGGACACGTGGAGTCCACGACAACTTCGCAACACCAGTTCATTCGGCTTCCTGGTTATATAATACATGTGACGTATTTTGATTAAACAGATAGTGAAACCTTGCCTACGGCACAGCTTGGCGGTGTCTTTGTAGACAGGAAGTGATCGCTTTCTGTGCGCCGAGGATGACCAGACCGTGCCTCGGGCTTGTGAGATACAACGTGATCACAATGGGCTGGGTTAACTCCGGGCGGTGGGGCGTCCCAAGCAGGAGGTAGTGATTGACAAATATCAGCTGTGCTGTTTCCCAGTGATGAAAATAGAACGGATTAAGACACGAACAACGAAACTGTCAACTTTGACGGTATCAGGTGTGCAAAGGAGGATTACCGATTAACTTTATAAGAACTGTTTCAGAGCCTGTATAAACTGTGCCATGCTGTGAGGTGCATTTGGCAAATGATCCATTGGTTGCATTAAAAAATATTCAGTTATTTCCAAACATAAAGCACCACAAAGGTTATTTACAGGCGTGCATACATACCATTGTATACGTACATTCAGAAGTCTTTTACTTCAAACAGGTACGACGCAATGCATGGGTTCATCTATAATTGTACATGTATATACTCTGCTTCAAAACGTCTCATTTGATATTCCATGATTTTAATTTATTTATTATCTTGTTTTTAATTTATTAATTTATTGACTTGAGGCGTATACTCATTTTACATGCAGACTATGCCCGCTGACTGTTTTCTGCAAGCTTTTATTGCTGGCATTATAGCATCATGATCATATAACATTATCATGCCACTTTGAGACTGATATTATCATCGTGAAACTTAGCATAATAAAAATATGTTCATATTTACGAACTGAATTTGTCATTTTATATATACAACTCAAAGTGTAAGAACATCCTTATTTTTCAAATGTCTGTAGTTGATCTGTCATGACAGGGAAATTGAATGTTTGTGATGGAAACAAAGTACACACCATATCCTTCACACATCTACCACAAACTAAGTATGTCACGAAACATAATACTAATGCACTACAATCTTCATGACACAGCGAGACCAGGTTCGGGTCAATCGCAGTTCATGCAAGTTAAAACAGGTCATCCTGTCAACTACGCCCTATATAACAACACTTTGTAAGGTCTGCTAACTCAGGCTTTATTAAACTATTCATACGCTTTCCTCGTCTGCTGACTCAAGTTTTATTTAAAAAACAAACACTTAAGTGGTCTGCAAATTCAAAGTTTCATTAAACAGCTCTCGTCTTAAGATGTACATGACAATAACTTATTACCCAATTACAATGTCTAAATCTCACACAAGGTACAAATTACACTGCCGAGACGTCTGGTGTTGTGGAGACGTGTGCAACAGACTGTAACCAACATGGCCTCCCTTTAAACCAGACGTCCTGTTTAAACACGCTACCTTATTCGCCATGTCTTACAATGTTTTATTCGACCTCTAATGGTGTGTTTTATGATGCAAGCAATCTGGGAATAACACACAGCACTGATTAAAGCGTCTCCTTATCACACAGGGACACTAATTACTGTGTCAAGATCGAGAATGGTCAGGGGCGGTGGAGTAGCCTAGTGGTTATAACGTTCGCTCGTCACGCCGAAGACCCGGGTTCGTTTCCCGACATGGGTACAATGTGAGAAGCCCATTTCTGGTGTCCCCCGCCGTGATATTGCCGGAATATTGCAAAAAGCGGCGTAAAACCTTACTCATTCACTCACTCCAGAATGGTCATGTGACACACCTTCATATAGTCAACTGTTTTTATCACTAAGTGCTTGGTCTAGAAGTATTTTCTTTAACCCACATCATAGGCGGTGATTTCACATGTTTCCTAATAATAATATATTCATATACAACTGCGTAGACCAATGTACACTGATGGTCAAAGGTTTACACCAATGTTTGAAGGTGGCTAAAAATGAAACAAACAAGAAATGATTGGATGGTGGTGTATTTGATACAAGTACCACAGCTATGTTCTCTAACCTTATGTTTGCTGTGTTTCGGCGACTGTTTTCGGCCTGCTGACGTATTGTGAGCTCGCTTGATGACGGATAGGTTAACGCCCTACTGAGCACACGATCAAAGTTTTGAAAAGCTTCCAATCCTTTGTAACAAGTCAAAGTCCACAGACCAAGTTAACCGATTGGTTATGATAAGGCTTTTTCTTGTGCACAACCACAATCAAATTGAGTTTGTCTAACTACAGCCTTGATTCGAGCCATTTTCTGAATTAATTGAACTTTATTCTACAACACCGTGTTCTATTTGTAATGCAGTCTTCTGAAAAGTCTATGAGACCATTTGGTAATTGGATAGGAAGTACATATATTTACAACTTGTTGTATTTGTTGTGAATTGTTTGATAGTCATTTCTTAGAAGTTGGCGGATGACAAAGTAGACACAATTTATGGATAACAGCTTCTTTAAAAGTTATTTTACAGTATTTTACATTTCGGTATAGATCCTCATACCGTTGTCAAGCACCTTTCGCTAACACTTGTGGCGACCTTTCTACTAACATGTATATTGTTGTTATGTAGTATGGTACAAAGGGGAAAAAACGAAATTACTTAACAGGGAGTGTAAAATATTTATGTGGACTCTGATCTCAGGAAGTAAATGATATACATAAAAATCGCTTATCTAAAACTATGTTTCTCTTGTACAAGAATCAAGTTGTACAAATGAAATTAACTTTGAAAGGAAGATACGTTTTCTTAATTCTTCTTAGATAAGGTAATTTCGGAACGCTATGTGTTTTCAATATTTTTTTAACGGACTGCAGTTTGGGAATACATATGAGAGTTATCTCACCTTGACTGTAGGTGGCAGTGTTATTTGTACACCGTGGCTGGAGTAAACAGAAGAGCTGGAAAGTGAAATTGTTTTAGAAATCGGAGCCGTAACTGATAAGAAATGATATCAGACTTGATAATATGTGGGTATGTGAACATTGTCAGATTCTAACACTTGCAGCACAGGTTTACTCGCCGCTTGTTCCGGCTGATAATGTCTAAATGAATCGACGGGTGTAGAATTTTGAGAAAAGTTTCTGATGTTTCTGTTTCTGTGCGAGTGAGTGTTCATTTACAACGCAGAGCTGAAGCTGTCTGTAATTAAACTTGCTAGCGGTTGAAACCATTATCAGCCATTGAACACATCGTAGACATCTGCTGATCATCCGGAAAATGACATTTTATTTATTGTATTTATCACCCCAGTCAATAGATTCATATATAGGCCTAGTTGAAGAAATAGATCCCCACCCTTGAAACCAGAGCTGTTATATTTACCCAGTGTTTTAGTGATATATTGTTGATTATCTGTATGGTGCATGGTTGACATAGTCGTCCAAATCGCTTTGATTAGTTATGCAACTTCGTGTAATTTAGGTGTGACATCCTGTCATTGTGGTAGACTTTTTGTGTTATGATTGTTGGATGACTACAACTGCTGATAATCAAGTGTGCCTTTGTTTCGTCTGTTCAAAGTTAGGATCGTCACTTTATATATTACAGTGGGTCAGGTAATATTATTTTGTAAATTTTTGTACGCCTTAAGCTGACATTCTGTGATCATGGCGTCATGATTGTCCAAGGCTCTATCATGGTGACATGACTGTCCAAGGCTCTATCATGGCAACATGATTGTCCAAGGCTCTATCATGGCGACATGACTGTCCAAGGCTCTAACATGGCAACATGACTGTCCATGACTCTATCATAGCAACATAACTAAACTGTCCAAGGCTCTATCATGGCAACATGATTGTCCAAGGCTCCTTCATGGCAACATGACTGTCCAAGGCTCTATCATGGCGACATGACTGTCCAAGGCTCTATCATGGCAACATAACTAAACTGTCCAAGGCTCTATGATGGCGACGTAACTGTCCAAGACTGCTCTATCATGATGACATGACAGTCCAAAGCATTTTATAACATACCTCACTCACTGATGCTTTGCACCTGTGAAGATTCTGGTTAGAATAGGTCTTCCGCTACCCATGCTTGTCGTAAGAGGCGACTAATGGGATCGGGTGGTCAAGCTCACTGACTTGGTTGATGCACGTCATTTTATCCCAATTGCGTGGGTTGATGCCTCATGATATCAATCACTGGATTGTCTGGTTCAGACTCAATTATTTGCAGATAGCGATCATTTAGCTGAGTGCGCCATTAAACATCAGACAAACAAAAAACACGAATGCTTTTTTGAGTTTGATCTTTTCTTGCGACCCAGATGTGAGGAGATAAAAAAATGCACCGATATACAGATAGTTGTTTTCCTGCATTCTCACATATGAGGTATTCATTCCAATGCATTAAAAACTTTTGAATGATTTTATGATTTCATTTTCCAGAACTCTCCTCATGAATGCAGGGGCAGTTTTAAACTTCAAGTTGTAAGTACACACAGGGATAAATGAAAGAACTGACATGATTAAATGGAAATATGTTTCCTATGTGTGTAGCATTACGTCACTCTGAATTGCTCATTCGTTGTGGCTTTGTCATCTTGTCAAGTTGAAGTTCAAAAGATTGATGTGGGAAAAAAATCTTACTTCCTCAACATGCTTAAGCATGGGGTTGTTGGGATCTTCAAGTTTACCTTTGACAACATCAGCAATTCAGGATTTTTATCATATTCATTCAAATTGTCAAATAATCAGCATCAACATTGTATTAAAAACAATATGAAATACAAAGAAGCTTGTGGCAGTTGATAAATCTTCCTTTGTTGTGAGGGGCGGTCGGGTAGCCTAGTGGTTAAAGCGTTCGCTCGTCACGCCGAAGACCTGGGTTCGATTCCCGACATGGGTACAATGTGTGAAGCCCATTTCTGGTGTCCCCCGCCGTGATATTGCTGGAATATTGCTAAAAGCGGCGTAAAACTATACTCACTCACTCACTCACTCACTTCCTTTGTTGTGTGGAATATCATCTTGTTTCATAATTGCCAAAACTGGACACACAAATAAATAATAAACCAAGTTTATCAAAGAGTTATGATAAATGTTTTTGCTTAACATATATACTGCAGATAAATTTAAATTTTCCAAAGTGATAACTTAATGAATTATTTTCAGAAAAAAGACGCAAGAAGAGGGAGCATTTGGTGCTGAACGGGATCCAACAGTTGGTAAGGGCTTGGGATTATAAGACGATATACCACTCAAAGGAATTTAAAGAACACCTGATATTTTCATATCATGATATGGCTATAGTTAATTTGACAGATCTAAAGATTATCTATTGTCATATGAAACAATTGCGTCTTCTCTAAAGTCTTTTGAGTAGTAAACTGGTACCACTCCTTGCTATGTTTCACTGACTTCAAATGGGCCAAAATATGCCAAGGAGTTCAGTGAATTTGAGTTAGTTTTGCTCATCTGTCTGAAAAACACATTACCCATTGTCCGTGTGTCGTCAACTTTTACAATTTCAACATCCCTGTGGCTCTGTTTTTGACTCGCTTGAATATCTGCCAAGTAGCTGGTGTGTGGTTAATCAATAATCACTCACTCGACAGTTTTTTTGAAACACTTACATGCATGGTTTTGAAGCATGCACATACCTGAACCATGGCCTTGTCAGAGATAGAAATTGGCATTAGCCGATTCATTTAATGGTAAAGATATCCTGATGACTGATAGTAGAATTTCTAGCAGTTTAGGGGTGTCCTAATAATCACTATATACATGTATATGTTTTTTTTCTGGGTTTCATGTTTGACCAGCTTTGCTCATCAGCAAATGATTAGCAATCTTGCGCATTCTAGGTGTATATGCACTTAGGTTCAGTTTAGAAATCTTACCAGCTAGATTATTGCAGTGTGATTGAAACCGAAAAGAAACTTCTCTTTCTGTTTTTGTATGTTTGGGGATAAAATTAATAGAATCGTCATAAATGGATTTTGTGATTGCAAATGTATTTTAAGTTATCTCCCTTTGATTTTGTGTGCTCATATAGTAGTGTTTAGACCATTTCAAAACAGTTCTCTTCATGTTTCATGTCTAACTTAAGTTGACAAATGAGGTCAATGACCTGCTTATGGTTGAATAATCATAATAATCAGCTTGATAATGTCATTGCAAGGCCGTGTATTCAGCTCTTTGTCAGTGTATGAGTTAATCATGTTCTATGGTAGCATCTTTAATGCCAGACCCCAGAGGTGTTGATATTAAACTCATGTTCCATTGCTCAATGAGAGGTTAGATTCAGGAAGTACTGCAGTCCTAGCAATAATGATTCAGATCATGGATACAGTGTTTCACTTGTCTGCACACTCCATTACTATGGGGGGGGCATGGGTGGCCCAGTCGTCTAAGGCGCCGCGATTCGCTGTGCAGAGTTGCGTCCCTTGGGCACGCCAGAAACCTATGATTGTGGGTTTGAATCCCGGTCCGCCCCAATTATGTTTCTAGGTTTGTCAGCACCATACCCGTGCTCGTGGGTTTCACCGAAGTGGTAAACGTCTGAGTGAGTTGGGTTTAACGCCACTTTTAACAGTATTCCAGTTATATCACGGCGTGTCAGCTTAATGTGGGAGGAAATCCTGAAGTGATGCAGGTCTAAGATATTTACTTACGACTTTGGTGAACCTTATGTGCGTTGTGCTGACAAGCCTACAAACGTAATGCGGGCGATTGTTGGATTCCAACCCACATCAGGTTTCAAGAAAGCCAAAGGGACATAACTCTGCACAGCAACTTGTTGGCCTTAGACGACTGGGCCTCATGGCGCCCCAGTGATGCTTGAGTGATTGAACATGATTGTCACTAGAAGCATCTTACACTAGAAAACAGTCCTTCTGGTTATCTTAGCTGAATAAACAATTCTGCCAATGCAATTAAGTGAAATATTTTACAAATTTTGTGAAAATAACATTGCCACACTGGTAGGGCTGGGACGAGTCCAAATTTACTACCCGGGTACCCACCCCCCCTATTACCCGACCCTACCCGGTTACCCACTGTAGGTCTCAGGAGATGTCTAAAAATGTCCGATTGGGAACATTTTTAGCATAGCCCTGTCAAAACGATTTAGATACATGTATTAAACAATCTGGTCATTTGTACACTGAAGTTGAATTAAGTTAAGTTATATCTTTATTCAACCATATGAAAAATCTGAAGGAATGGGTGCACAGTCAGAAAGAAATGCGAACATTAGTGACTTGTAGTGTAACCATAGAGTTCTAGATAATTTTTGTCATTAAACAATATATCACGTGACTAACCACGCGTCCGGGTAGTCCTGTGGGTACCCGGCGGGTCCTACTCAGTACCCACCCCACCCGGGTACCCGAGTTACCCATCCCAGGCCTACACACTGGTACCTGGGTAGAATGAGTCCCCGACACCTCACTGCTAATAGTAAGGGGCGGCTGAATAGGAAACCCATGGGGAATCCAGGCAAGAATTGGTTCCTAATAACCTGTGCTCATTGTAAGGGGCAACTCAATGGATGGGTGCTCAGAGACTTGGTAGGTTGTGTTTATATGTATATAAGCTTGGTTTGTTGCTCAAAATAACAGTCACTGGATTATATGTGAAAAAAGTGAAAAAAGCAAATTGTATACTTCCAACCTCTGATTCTTTCAAGTTACTCTGTAAACTGTTTTCTTAATTTTTATGCACATATTTAAAAGGGTGGGGATACTGATGGCTTTGTTATCCTCCACGTATTCATTAGAGCGCTGAATAGTCAGACTGAAAACAACGCAAGATAACAACACTGACCATTGAATCTAGTTCCTGTTACGAGTGACACACTGCTTCAAGTAACGGGTGGTAGGGTAGCCTCGTGGTTAAAGTGTTCGCTCGTCACACCGACAGGTTCGATTCCCGACATGGGTACAACGTGTGAAGCCCATTTCTGGTGTCCCCTGCAGAGATATTGCTGTAATATTGGTAAAAGCGGCATAAAACCAAACTCACTCACTCACCTCAAGTAACAAAAAGGAAGGACCAACTCAGTTTTGCTATTAAGAATATCTAATTATTACCAAAATCTACAATTACTCAATATTTACACAATTGACAATTATAATCTGGCAAACTAACATATATATCGCAAAGCTGAATAGGTGAAGACCCAACGTGATACAGAAACTCCTCCAATCGGACACAGTCCGGATCCTGGTCACAGACGTATTCCGATCACAGTTCGATTAGTCAGTGACACAGTATGCCCAGTCTCAGTCTAGCTCAAATCACAGTTCTACTTTCCTGTCTCTCACAAATGATAGACACATCCTAATGCATCACATGATTCCACAGGTGGGAATGTCACAGACCGACATGGTCAATACAGGGACAAAGTGAGTGTGAGACATCCTGGACCCATCTCAGTTCTCAAAATCAAAAACTCTCTCCCTGCTCTAAACGCTGGAGCTCCCAGCTCTGGAGCTTGGTCAACACAACCTGGTCCCCAGCTCAGTCTCATGTCCAAGCCTCTGAAACAATACACCATACATTGCTTACAGGGTTACATAAGCTACTCAATGTGGCAAGCTTACCAATCACAGTGGCAAAGCTAATCAATCACAGGTCCACCTTTGGTCCACCTTTTTTTTCTCTCTCTTTTTATTTTGAAATGTAAACTTTTATTCTCAAGATAGTTGTGGTCCCCCTTTCCTATAACCTCAATAACCTCTTTGGTTACAATACATGGTTACTCTTTGGTTAATATAAAAAATGCTCACATATTACATTCCTCTTTAACTGATTATCTGGCGCCAGTGCAGCTTCAAATTTAACCCTATTCGTCCAGCTTCAACTTCTGTTACGTGGACTTGTTTAGTTGGTTTCTGGATCCTGCCAACCGTAACCTAATGATCTGAAAATCACTAAAACCGTATTCCTCATGTCTTATTAATGCCGTATTGCATGTTCAGAACAAAACAATTGTGCATACAATAGATTAAACTGCTAGACCGTTTGTTCAAGTGACATCATGTATAGATAATATTTTGAAATATGAAAAAAACATTCTGAAATATTTTTTTTTAGTTTATTTACTTTCACAAAATGATCAGGACTTAAAAATATATTGTAAACAATGACCTGAATTGGTTGTCTTGTGTTTCTCCTTAGATTGTTTCCATGGCAACTGTGTTTGTTTCAGGAGACAAGGTCCGGAGCTTCCTGCTGAGTCTCCGCCACCTCAGGATCTTCATTGCCATGTGGAACATCTTCATCATGTTTCTTATGATAGTGTGAGTCCCGAGAACGTTCATGTCGTTCATGTCTCATGTTTCCTTTCACAGGAATGTCAAATGAGAGTCACTTGTTGTTTCTTTAGGATATCCTGAAAAACACAGGATTATCTCAGCAGTCTGGGCCAAAACTTTTGTGTCTTCTCACCCATATTTGACTTTTTGGATCATTGTTTTTAGATTTTAATTTTAGTGTGTGGACTTATATTACCTGGGCTCACAAGACTGAACATAATTTTGCTGCAGTCAAGACAAGATATTTTGTGGATGACCACTGTTATGATGTGATGCGACGTTTCGGTGTATATCTTTATACTGTTGTTAATCATGTTCATGTATACTCTCATGTTGTTTTTGTTAGCTCACCGGGTCCAAGGACCAAGGTGAGCTTATGCCATACCGTTGCATCCGTCCGTCCGTCGTCCGTACGTCAACAATTTATTCAAACAACTTCTTCTTCTGAACCACTAATTGGAAGTTAACAAAATTTGACTGGAGCATCCCTAGGTCGTGGGCATCCAAAATCGTACAAATGGTGGGGCTGAGGTGCGGGGCCAAATTGGGGTAATATGGCCATATTGCTTTGAACAACTTCTTCTCTGGAACTAAGAGATGCAGATCAACCATATTAGGTTGGAGACATTCTCCAGTGGTGAGGATTGAAAATTGTACAAATGGTGGGGCTGATCCCCCAGGGGGCTGAGGGGTGGGGCCAAATAGGGGTAATTTGGCTATATTGCTTTAAATGAATTCTTCTCTGGAACTAAGAGATGCAGATCAACTATATTAGGTTGGAAACATTCTCCGGTGGTGAGGATTGAAAATTGTACAAATGGTGGGGCTGATCCCCCAAGGGGCTGAGGGGTGGGGCCAAATAGGGGTAATTTGGCTATATTGCTTTAAATGAATTCTTCTCTGGAACTAAGAGATGCAGATCAACTATATTAGGTTGGAAACATTATCCGGTGGTGAGGATTGAAAATTGTACAAATGGTGGGGTTGACCCCCCAAGGGGCTGAGGGGTGGGGCCAAATAGGGGTAATTTGGCTATATTGCTTTAAATGAATTCTTCTCTGGAACTAAGAGATGCAGATCAACCATATTAGGTTGGAGACATTCTCCAGTGGTGAGGATTGAAAATTGTACAAATGGTGGGGCTGATCCCCCAAGAGGCTGAGGGGTGGGGCCAAATAGGGGTAATTTGGCTATATTGCTTTAAATGAATTCTTCTCTGGAACTAAGAGATGCAGATCAACTATATTAGGTTGGAAACATTCTCCGGTGGTGAGGATTGAAAATTGTACAAATAGTTGGGCTGACCCCCCAAGGGGCTGAGGGGTGGGGCCAAATAGGGGTAATTTGGCTATATTGCTTTAAATGAATTCTTCTCTGGAACTAAGAGATGCAGATCAACCATATTAGGTTGGAAACATTCTCCGGTGGTGAGGATTGAAAATTGTACAAATGGTGGGGCTGACCCCCCAAGGGGCTGAGGGGTGGGGCCAAATAGGGGTAATTTGGCTATATTGCTTTAAATGAATTCTTCTCTGGAACTAAGAGATGCAGATCAACCATATTTGGTTGGAAACATTCTCCGGTGGTGAGGATTCAAAATGGAACAAATGGTGGGGCAGACCGTATTGCAGTATTATATACATGTACAATGCAAATGTAGATTTTGTCATGATTGCGTAAATATCCAGGTAAGCGATACAGGCCCTATGGGCCTCAAGTTAATCCTTATTAGAATGTATATAAGCCTGTACTGCATGGCTCCAACTGGATTTACCTTGCACCAGGTGCATGTTGGCATGGAAACCAAGATGCTCTAGACAAAAACAGGTTGCACCCTGGTCCCATTGATTTATCAAAGTCGAAACATAGGCCTGATTTGCTACCAGTGTCAATAAATTGATGACATATTGCTGTAAAACGTTGTTGGAACATGTGCACATGATCTTGAGTGTCCACAGTTTGATGATGTCAAGCCCCAAAGCATGACCAATTACACATACGTACAAGAATGCACATGGTATTATTTGTACGAGACATCATGTAAAATATGGACACAGGTCGTTTTCTGCGTTCGCCAAACCATGAAGTTTGCGATCTTTCAATTCTTTTTTTTAACCAAACTTTCATTCTAATAAGCGCCCCCCTTTTCTAATTTTGAGAGCGCCCTGGGCGCTTATTACGTCGAATACGGTAACAGAGCAATTATTTATGTAGTACATTGTATGGTCAGTGTAGCCTGGAGGTGATGTGTACAAAGATCAGTGTTGTGGGAACAATTAAGCATGAGTCAGACACATATTATTATTTTTTACTTGCACAGAGCTCCAGATGACTTTTTGAGCAATTGAGTTTTTACTCAAAGGTTTCTAGTTTAATTGGGTTATTACATTTTTCATTGGGTAACCTATATTTTTTCTCTTATCTATTCATTACTCTATTGGGTTTTTCCCAAAACAGTAAACATTTGAGATTAAAAAAAATTGAAATGTTTTAGATGTTTATAACGGTTCTAAATATAGGCTTGATTTGGACAGTAAATTAGTTTGTTATTGTGTTTTGGAAATTAGCTCTGTTGTACGTGTGCTGTTTTTATACATTTGAGTTTTTCATTTAATGCATGCGTTTCTGTATGCAAGGTAATTGAAAGTAATTGGGTTATGAATCATTTTTGGAGGGTATTTAGCGCAAATACGCAGCTGATCTGTAGCTCTGCTAGCACTTGGTGCATGTAGACTTAGATATTTGGTTCTTTTGTCAATATCAGATTGCACTGGTGCATGTTTTGTTTAGCTAAATCAAGCTCTGGACTGTACTGTCTTACTTCACTTCCATTTTTACCGAAACGTTGCATCCGAATACAATAAAGAAGTTGTCATCCATACAATATCTTGTCTATACTGTGACTTACCAACTTCTAAAAAATGGCAATCCAACAGTTCATGATTTTGCAAGACTTTTACTTCAGACTAGTCACGCTAGTGGATTTAGTCACAGACTGTATCAGTAGGTTATTACATAAAAGCTAGGAAAGGATTCTTATTTCTTTGCCTGTGTCTTCAACTGCCCCCCTGAATATTACAATATGACATTACCTACTGACATATGAAATCAGAACCTCACATACGTGATAAAGAAGTAATATGCTTGAAAAGATTATCATATAGGTCATCAATCATCTTCACAGTTTTTGAATTTTACAAGTTTATGTGTATCGTAAATATTATCATATATTTTCACAGAGCAGAATGCTGAAATAGGAGCTCTTATAATGTTTAATATGTTTATACCATGTGTATGAGAATGTTCTTTCTGTTTAGTTGTAAACATGTATCAGCACTCTTATATACTGTTCTAGTCCAGTGATGCTGCTTGTCGTAAGAGGTGACTAACAGGATCGGGTGGTCAGGCTCTCTGACTTGGTTGAAGCATGTCATCGTATCCCAATTGCGTGGATTAATGCTCATGATATCAATCACTGGATTGTCTGGTCCACACTCGATTATTTACAGACTGCCATCATATAGCTGGAATATTGCTCAGTGTGGCGTTAAACAGCAAACCAACCAACCAACAAACCGATGATGCCTTCCTTTGTCTACTTGCTGTAGATACTCCCTAATAAAAAACAGTTTCAATTAAAGTTGGTTTGAGGTTGAAAAAAATCGCTTGTAGTCTGGTTTACAAAATAGCTGATTGTTTAAACCTGTAAACTATCTATCATTGTATTGACTGTGATTCATTTGCAATGTAATTTATTTCAGATTCTTTGGCCATTGAGGAAAATTAAGGAGAGACTGCTGACAGGAGTTGCCTCCCTTGGACTAGGAGTCTCGTCCAGACAGCTGCAGTTTTCTCCCTTCATGGTTACAGGGTTGTGACTTAAAGAATTAAGCTGACATATCTTATGGGAAGCCTTTCAAAGTCTCAAAGAGCAGACTTTTGATTCCAGGTGGAATACTCAATAGCAGTATAGCTAAGAACTTGAGAGGTTGGGTATTGCTGGAAAGAGGCACTATCTTTAAGTGGCATCTTTGAGAGTCCATGGAAAGTCTGTGGAATCAATGGAGGGCCACAAAAACTGTGTTTGGGGTGGGTGGGTGCATAAGGGTATGTACAATTTGTGACATGGCCTTGATAGAAAATGATATTGATTTGGGACTTATTCTTGAAGACATTACTTTAGATACATAGGAGGGCGCGGGTGGTCCCGTGCTCCATTCATCTAAGGCGCTGCGATTCACTGTGCAGAGTTGCGTCCCTTTGGCACACCAGAAACCTATAATTGTGGGTTTGAATCCCGGTTTTAGGTTTATCAGCACCATACCCGTGCTCGTGGGTTTCACCGAAGTGGTAAACGTCTGAGACCTGCATCACTTTGGGCTTTCCTCCCAAATTAAGCTGACACGCTGTGATATAACTGGAATTCTGTTAAAAGCAGCGTTAAAACCAACTCACTCATTCACTTTAGACACACAGAGAGGGCCAGTGTTTGTGGCTGATTGACCAGGTTTTTAGATCTCTCATGGATGAAATGTTCTGAACATCTGTACCAATTCTTTATTGTTTTGATAAATACTTCCCAGTGTGTGAGCGCTATTGCCACCAGGATGAGGAAGTGTTATGTTTGTGCTAGATGGTAGATGGGGTTCCTGTGCTACTTCTGCAGGGCATGTGTAAATATGTATGATACACACACTGTATGTTACACCATCATGCATTTCCTTGTACATATCATTAAAAATATAACATTTGCGCGCATTGTTTTGTTTCTGATCTTTGTGTGGCATCTTGGGCCATCCATTTTTTTGTGTTGTCATCTCCAACCTCAACCAACAGAGCATGTGGGCGAAATAAGATAAAAAAATATTAAAAGATGTTTTTCACTAATTATATAACTTTTTTTATAACATTTCAAAATTTATAACATTTGCTACCAGTCTTTATATTTATTTTGGAAACAAACTTTTAATAAAAATGACTGAAGAAGGATGAAACTGACCTAGGTTTGCCAGTGTAGCCACTGTGGTTGCATATAGGGGGGTAGGCCAGTGAATACACCGTTCACTCCCCATGGCGAAGGCCTGGTTTAAGTCTCCACATCGGTGCAGGGGACCCCAACTGTTTCATTTCCTTTCAGGAAATATGAGGCTGCTGTAAAGTAATTAAATAGTGTGCTGCACTGCAAGATTTATTTTATTTTAATTTTATATTTCTTGTCAAGAAGTTGGTACAATAAATATTATTGTGCATCTGCGTCCAATTCCATACATTTGTGTTTAATGGACGCACATTTCTGTGTAAAACCCTTGGAAATGAAGCTTATTTCATGTTTCTCCACTATGATATTGTTGGAATATTGACAAAAAGTGGCGTGAAACCATGGTCACTCTGCATCCATGGGGCTCTATACATCATGGCCACACTGTAAGATGAGTTGCGTCAGAAAGGTTATTAATCCCCACCAGGAGCCCCAACCTATATGTCCTGTCCACCCTAACTCTTTTCTGAAAGTGCTGTGAACCAGCATGGATAAATTACTATTTCACAGAGTTATGGCCCTTGTTTGATGTTTTGGACATTCCAGGAGATGGAAGCACAGAAATGTGCATTGTCAGTCACCTTAGGGAAACTTAGAGTTTCATGCTTGTATCATCATTTGAACAACCCCCATCTTGTGTGCACCGTGTCTGACCCACTATGAGTGGATGTGCACTTGCATATAAATAACTGACTTTCAAGTACCATTTGTCATCTGGAGTGACAACAAATCATCAGTATGAAGAACGGATTTTGAAAGATGGTAATATACTGAACCGCAAAAGAAACGTCACCATGGATAGATATGAGAAATCAATGGGTCCAAAAACTGTAAACATACTTTGAGACATATTGAAAAGATGAAACTTGGCAAAACTGATCATCAAGGTTGAAATTAAAGTGTCAAATGTTCTTAAAGTGAAAGACAACACCAGTCTCTGAGAAAATGGCATCACAAGTCAGTATCTCGTGTGTCCGCCATGTGCATTGATGACTGCCGTGCAACGTCGATACATGGAATGGATGAGGCGGTTGATGAAGGCCACCAGCACTTGAGCCCACACTCTGAGGAACGCCTGACGCAGTTCAGCTGCAGTTGTCGGCCTTGGTCGGCTGTCATTCAGCCGCCTTTGAATCTCGTCCCACCGGTGCTCAATGGGATTTTAATCGGGACTGAGGGCAGGCCACTGCATGGTTCTGATGCCATTCTCTTGGAGGAAGTCTCTTGTTACACTCGCAGTGTTGGCACGGGCGTGATCATGCTGAAACCCGTGGTTGCGGCGACGTGCCAAAGGAGGTATGGCGTGTGGCCTCAAGACTTGATCAATGTACCGAGCTGCTGTGACACCATTGCCTCTCCCTGGACCGAAGTTATGGAAGACCACAGGGCCGACCCTCTGTGCAAGACCAATTCCACCCACACCATGATGCTCGGACCACCCCACAGTCTCTCTCAGCAACACAAGCATCCGAATAACGTTTCCCACGACTCTCTCTGCCATCTGCTGTTGAGATACAGTAACGGCTCTCGTCTGAGAAGAGGACTCTTCTCCACTGCTGGTGGAATAGGTCCTCGGTTTTGGCCTGTGACAGTGGAGGTGTCTGCTCGTCAATCGTCGACGCACGGTGTCCGCACGAATATGTCGCTGGTGTGTCCCCATGGTCTGTCGAGCAGTTTCCACAGCAGTGACAAAGCGATCTTGAAGATGTCGCACAATCTGACGGTCATGACGTCAGGGGGTGACCCTTGGTCTTCCACTACGTGGTCGGTCATCTGTAGTGTTGGTGGTCTGTTACCGTTGCTGGAGCCTGTATATGGTCCTTACGTGGACTTGAAATGCATTTGCTACTTGCTGGGCTGTTTGTCCAGCTTGCAATCGTCCAAGGGCTTGGTGTCGCTGATTTCTTGTCAATCTTGGCATGTGGTAGCAATTCAACAGCGAATGAATGTTATCCGATCTGGGTGGATATTTATAGGGCAAGAAATGGGGGAACGCATGTGCATTTCAATTTGCACGGAACTCACGTGCATCGGGTTACCATGGCCGTTGCCATGATGCTTTTGGGCGATCGGTTTTATTGTCATCTGCTTTGGTTTTTTGTGATCAAATTTTATTTTTCCAGACAAGCTAATTTTAAATTTTAGAAACTTAAAGACTTATTTAAATGACAACTTTTCATGCAATGTTACTTGGGGTGACGTTTCTTTTGCGGTTCAGTATAAAATAAAAGCTTTAATTATTTGTCCAGATATCATATATAATAAATAGTTGTCTTTTGATAACCCTACTTCTACTTTGAACTTTATGGACAGTTTCTTTGACTTTTCTAATGGTAATGTGAATCGCAAGCCTTCACCTTCGTCAAAACGAGACACTTGTAGATCATTTGTGTGTTTATCACAAAAAATAAAAGCAGATTCAACCTCAATATCATTATTAGCTGCCCATACATGTAACGTCAGTTATGTGACGTGCAAATGTCGTAAGTTGGATGTTATGTATAGAATCTCACCCTTGTTTCTTTGAAACTTTTACGCACGAGTGTTGATATACTTGATGTCAAAAGACACAAGGGTGAATTCATTTATCATCCAAAGTCATTCTTTCAACCTTCTTAACTTGTAAATGGTAATAACTAGTGTCTTGAATTTAAGCAGTACAGCTCAGCATGCAGCTTTGACTGTTATGTCATGGTAACCGATGAGGTCACAATGGTCTGCAATGCAGCGTGATGCAGTTTCATTGAAGCGATATCTCCCAGGAGACATGACTTGATCTCACCAAAATGATATTTGTGTAAGCCAGTTGGGACTGATAAATACAGAAACTCACCTGAGAGTCTTTTGTGTAAAAAAATTAACCGATATTGTCCCAGTGGTCGGCAGAGCGTTGTGATGAAATTTCAGACAAGCAGCGTCTCCCGTGGAAGCTAGTTTCGGATCACAAAACCATTTCATGTGTTGGAAGGAAAAATGAAGTATTACAGTAAACTACGGTTATAACGAACTCAAAGGGACTCCTAATTTTAGTTCGTTATAACCGTAGTTCGTTATAAGTACATATACAGCATGACTACAGCAAGTAGTCGGGACCAAAAAGTAAGTTCGTTATATCCGTCAGTTCGTTATAAGCGTGTTCGTTATAACCGTAGTTTACTGTATTTTCAGGATCGCACACAGTTGATGTACTATAAAGTTCGATCAGATGGAGAGCGTGATGTTAGTGATGTCAGTTGATTTTTAGAGGCTGTGACAGTTTGTGACTAATAGAACAACATAATTTATGAATTTCATTTATGATACAGAAATGGCAGGGATTTCTGGTTTGGGAATTTGACACCAAACACTTTATCAGCATAAACATGACAATTGGATATTTTAGAATAAAGTTTAAGGATCCAAATCAGGTTTAGCACATTCCCACTCAATTCATCCGATAAAAGTGAGCCTCAGTGCCACTGGAGCTCTGGTTTAAGTACTGAAAACGCTTTCTAGTTGTAAACGGAAACGTTTTTGACCCCAGGGGAAACAGGTTATGTTGGAGACAAGGCAGATCGATGAGGAAGGGCAAGTACACCGTGACCCTTCTCGCTCAGAGGTGTCTCTTTGTAGGTCCAACAGCATCAAAATGTGAGACAGCTGTGTTTATAGTGAATATCATCTTATAGTATATTTCTGTAACAATTCACCCGAGCCCACATTTACTTCAATACGAGACCCGTGAAGATCCGGGTGAGAATAGATCAACGCATGCTTGCAGTAAAATGTGACTATGCTCGTCGTAAGAGGCGAATTGCGGTTGGTTGGGTGGTTTGTTGTTTAACGCCGCACTCAGCAATATTCCAGCTATATGACGGCGGTCTGTAAATAATCGAGTCTGGACCAGACAATCAAGTGATTGATGTCATGAGCATCGATCCACGCAATTGGGATCGATGACATGCATCAACCAAGTCAGCGAGTCTGACCACCCGATCCCGTTAGTCGCCTTTTACGACAAGCATAGTCACCTTTTATGGCAAGCATGGGTTGCTGAAGACCTATTCTACCCCGGACACTTCACGCGAATTACGGGATCGGGTGGTCAGGCTAGCTGACTTGGTTGATGCATGTCATCGTATCCCACTAGTGTAGATCGAAGCTCATGATGTCAATCACTGGATTGTCTGGTCCAGACTCAATTATCCACAGACCTCCGTCATATAGCTGGAATATTGCTGAACAACAAACAAACAAAACAAACAACAGTATACTGTGTCTGAGTGGGGTATTCATGTTAAACTGCAGCATGGTTTGTTTGTTGATTAACGCTGCACTCGGCAATATTCCAGCTATATGGCGGATGCACTGCCTTCCAGATGAACACAAACTCATCTCATCATTTGATTCTGACGTGTTGAATTTGTATGCGCGCGATTTCATATCTACTGATAGTAAAGTTTCTTTCGCTATATTTTTTATTGTTCCCTTATTCGTTTCCATCAGTATATGTAAATGACCCTTCAATAATGACGCTGAGTATATGACTCTGATTTCATTGATTGCTTGTCATTGTAGACGGGCTGTTCCTTACACTGTCGACCACTGGTTTGTCTGACTCGATTATTTACAGGCGGCCATTTATGGATAGTTGCCGAGCGCCGAGTAACACAACAAACAAATCTTGCCATACGAGTCTATATGATCTTGTATAATTATTATGTTTGCGGGGCAA